TAAAACCCAACTCTCATGCCATTAGAAAGAGGATCATGAAAAACCTATAAAAAGATGGTTCATGAAATTTTAGTTCACTCATAAAGCTAAAGTCCGCTTGCTCTAGCAAAAAATGCCCACTGTGCATTATGATTGTATTGTATAATGAAAGTTGAGCATTACGAAAAGAGCACGTTTTCATAAAGAAAAGATCAATCAAAAAATATATATAAATGAAAAGATTTATTTGTCTTGGTTTGATCAAGGTAATCATTTATTATCAATTTAAAGATAGAACTCTAAATATGCTATAGCATATTCATCGATTCGTAGTTGTTTATTACATTTTTACTTTGAAAGAAATAAAACACAAACAGAATGTCTCGGAGCATTTTAACAAATCTCGAGACACGCAAGAAATAAGAGAAAAAGAATATATATACTTGTGATTGATTTATCTTGTAGATTTTTACAATTAGTCTACATTGCGATGTTACAGTCACCTGGAACATCGTCCTTATCATCAAATCAAGAACAACAGCATCAAACGGCTGCTGAGGGTGCTGGTACTAGTGCTGGTGGCGGTGGTGGTAGTGCTGTTGAGGCAGCAACGACGCCATCGACAGTAGCAAATCGGATCAGTTGATTCACAATCATTAGCAGGTGATTGTATGGAAGAAGAACAAAACGTCTTACGTGAATTTGAAAACCAGGTACTGGATCACATACGTCTAGTCACTCGGCGATATCCATATAAACAATTAATAATCGGGCCGATTGAATTTGGTGAAAATAAAGAAATGTAGACCATCAATGATATCTTCATCATTTTTTCATAATTCATTTAATAATAATAACTGAAATTTCAAGAAATAAATATTTGAAAATCAATTTATCGATAGTGACTATGATAGTACTCGTAATAACGCCAAACCCCAGGACATCTTAGGATTTTCGTGGCTTTGTCCATTTATTTTCGACCATCACCCATTTATCTGGACAGCGCTCGTTTCCATGTACACAAACTTTATCTGTTCTATACGCTAACCAATATAAATTCAAGACGGCGGACATGCCTAAGATTAAGCAGAGCCATTCTTTTTCTCAAAAATAATACGGAAAGTGCAGTTTCTTGCATGCGTTCTTGGAAAAAAGCTCTAACTTAGAATTTTCTCTCCAATTGCGAGAGAACCAGACTAGAGTGTGAAAACGAAGCACGAATTTGAGCGCAAGTGGCTCTAATTAATCGATTATCTTCACGCCAGTTGTTTTGTTGCTACAACCAGAATATACCTTTAGGTTTTGTAAAGTTGTGACTGCTTTCTTCGCTCAAAATCCAACTTTTTTTTACTGAATACCGTCGATAAACAGCGGTGCTAAAAAATAAGAACGACAGAATTGAAAAATTTCCAAGTTTTTTCTCACGAACTCGTCGAAGTACATGAGCTTTAACTGAAGTTACAAAGAGAGAGTTTGATTGCCGGCTGTCAACCACGCTGATAGTAAACAAAAACATAAAAAAGCTTAATAGTCTATCGTCGATATTCTCTTTTTGATTGCCGGTATTTAAACAATTACTGAGCGTAGCTCGGTCTTTGAAGGAGGAGGCGTATAAAAGGACGGGTGCGTATTCAAAACGTGGAAGCGTTTGTACAACTTCTCATCTTACCTGTATTTCTCGTTCTGGAAACGACATTAACAGGGAAAAAACAATAAACATTATAGTCGATACCAGAGATCAGCGCGGGCCGGGATTCTGGTCTGATCGGATCGGGCCATCAAATTTTATAAAGTGGTCGTTCATGGTGTGATCTGGTATTGCCTCTCACATGGGTGCATTATTCGAAATAGCAAAAACAGTTAACTCTTTTTTTTTGTAACATTTAATCTTAAAATACTTCAAAAGAAAGTAGTAATACAAAACAGAATGAGACGAAAGATAAGAATCAAAATTGTGTTACATTATTGTTCTATACATTGCTTCTGCAAACTAGTCCCGCTGAGTTTGAATGGTCTCGTTTTTGAGCAATAGGCCATAAGGACGCACAGCTTCGGGGTCGACAATGCGCCAAGCTTCGCCCACACGGACCGGATCTGTATGACTTGTGAAGGAACCGGGTTTCACACGACATTGAAACATAACTCGAAATTCTTCGCTCTTATCACCATTTGACACCTTGAAGGGTAGCGCGTACGCATCAGCACCACCGGTACAGTGTGTTGCTACATAGAGTCCCAATCTATTCACAGCCGTTCCCGCTTGCAGCACGGCATCATTCTTCTTAACATCCCTCTTGGTAAAGCTAGGCAAGAGACCTTTCAGTGTAATACTGCTTACTGCTTGCGACTGTGTTCCGTGAAAAGCGACAGGCCACTCTCCGTCGATGTTCTGCTGACCGAGCCAAATATTATTGTCTGGGTACTTGTTAGCTACATTTAAGCCATGACGATACCAGCCAAGCGGCAGATAGTACTGGTATTGTCCACGTCGTTCTTCTTCCGGCAGGCCAGGCTGGCTGTAGTCGAGGTTGTAGCGCGTGTCGAAGTCACTTGGTCTCAGTTGTAGGTAGGAAAGTACCGACGTCAATTGGTATTGGTAACGGGCTGATGCTATTAGATGAAGAACTTTGTCGTTTCTGAAACCTGAACGAATCATAGCCTAGAATATGTACGAACGTGACTTTCAAGAAAATCAAATAAACAGTCTACTACTCTACCTGCAAATCGCTCGCAAGGGATTCCGTTTGTTTCTGATTGGGTGTAGTAAGGCCAAAACTGACCTGAACTTTACTGGAATCTTTCGCGTCTCTGTCGATGGAAAACACTCGAACATAGTTTCTCTTACAATCAAGCACCTTGGCAATTGCCGCCGTAAAAGTGAGCGCAAAAGTCTCCATGGTTTCGTTCGATCGGGCGAGATCTCTGTCGTAGTCGACATTGACCTTGACCGAAAATTTGGCCGTGGGTATATAATCAGTGGCCAGCAGGTAAATACTGCCTAAATTGGTCACACCACAAGCCGTGTGTTTGATGCTCGGCGCGGATGATAGATCGTCATTGGTGAAACTCAGTTCTCCTCCGTATTGTCCAGCGAAAGCATTGAGCGCTAGCACGAGCGTTTCTGTAGACTTCTCACTGACTTCCATTGGCTCTTGGCGAAAATTTTTCGATTTACCAACGGCTGCTCTATAGCGTGCCACTGTGTTGACGAGGTCGCGATCTGTGGCGTCGGCCGGATAGACGACATCTTTTAATGCTGCACTCTGATCGTCTAGCTTAAACCAAGTGGGTGTAATTTTGAACGTTGTTCCATTGCATCCGATGTTCATGCTCGAAATTTTGAGTCTTACTTGATCGACGACTGGTGCTGTTTGCGGTCTATTGCCCAACTGCGTATAAGCTCTCCTAATTTCGTCATTGCGCTTACCTTTTAGCTTTTTAATGCGCGCGTCCATTTTATTAATGTATGCAACATTGGCTTGGTTAACGTCCGGACTACTATGTGTGTTCTTGTACGCTAGCTTGTCAATTTTATTTTGAAGTCGGGTAATGCGTATGGTGAGATGGTAGACAACGTCTAGATCGGCCATCGTTGGGAAATCAGCAATCTTTCTCTATTGATCTTCTAGAATGACTACACTGTCCTGTTTTTAGAATGCACGCGGTTGTTCCTGTTAAGAACTTCTGATAAACAGTAAGCGTGAGACTTGACTAGAAAAAAAGAAGAGACTTAGGATAATCAGACCATGTAATCAGAACTAGATTCGAAACATTTTGGTGGCTTTAAAGAAGCCTATACTCCAAGCAGCAGCTTCTATGACAGTTTCAATGCTTAACAGATTGGTTTCAGTTACTAAGACGCTTCTACATACAGAGCGTAGAGAATAATGCAAGCCGCGTAATTTTCCACTCTTGCTCATTCATGAACACCGTCATCATCTTCCTTCCATTTTCTCTTCCCTACAATCAATTTCCTCTTTCTCGTCCTTCTTCATTCAAACCACAAACTAGTGTCACTTTTCCTTCGTCCCAATAAAACAACTGTCCTCGCTTAATGGAAACCCCGACGAGCATTTTGTCGCACACTCAGTGCAGTTTTCATCCAGTTGACGATGAAACCATGCGCAAATCTAGGTTCCCGACGATGCTAAGGCATGCAGTATTGTTTCTTCAGTTTTTTAAATGTGATCTATCGATCACAAAATCGATCCAGAAAACGGCAAAAGTAGTGCTTCTGGATGTTGCACTGTCTTTGAATGCGACGACTCAAGAAGCGACGACAGCCTCAGAAAAGATGTTTCAACACACTGGCAGTGTTAGAGAAAGAGTGAATCACTTTGAAAAACATATAGCTGGGACCATAATCTACATTATTTCCTTGGCAGAATTCGAACTCAGATCTTATTGTGAACAAATTTTTTGGAGTGAAACAGAAAGTTAGGTGTCTGAAGCTGAATCTTCTGATGATGGGATTAGACAGATCAGCTCGAATTGAAGGACAAATAGAATAGCCAGTAAGGTATGTAAAGTTTAAGTATAGAATACTTATGTGCCTTCCAAATTTGCTCAAACAGAACGTGTAATGACTACATATCAAGTTGACTCGAGGATGTACATAAAATGTGTTCGTTGCTGTTTTACAAGAAAGTAAGAATGTCAACATGCTAGTCGCTTGTAGTAACATGAAAAGAAACATGCCGGCAAAGTACATTAAATGTGCAAACATTACCTTTCATTGGCAATACACACTGCCAGCAGCATGAAACGTTTTTTAAGCGCACCACATATCGTTCATACATTTTTATTTTTGCTTTAGACACTCGAAAATAATGACAATGGCACATCGATACAAAAAGACTTTTTCGTTTCATTCATTTAAACGATTTCGTTTTGAAAAAGTTGCAAAGAATCGTTTTTTTGCCTTCGCACTGTGTCGGAAACTAGCAGGGGGTTCGTAAAACGCGAATCGATATCCTAAACCTTTCTATAACTTCTTTAGCGACTGGGTGTATTTTTCCTGACATAAGTATTGGATATAAGTCGTGTTTTTACAATTTCTTTAATCTGTCTTGCAGTTATCGAAAGTTTGGGTTGGGACTATTTTGAACTCCCGTTAATTTCGGACAATCCAGCCGTGACATACTCCACAACGTTCCATGGCGATCCCAAATCCCCGAGAAGTAAGGGGATGTCAATAGCCATGCGACGAACTATGCATTTTTAAGGCCAAAAGATCGTGCAGTAAAAACGTTTCTGATGTCGCACACACATATTGGATCTTGGCGATGAAGAATTAGACTGCCGTCGGAGACAGCAAAGTTTTTGGATCTTTTTTTAAATGAATAAAAATGTTTTCGGTGTACGTTTTTGAGCCTGTTCTTCTTCATAGCTACTCATAACAGATTCTTCAGCAGCCATCATTTTAGAGAAACCCACAGATCGCAGTAGATCTTGTATACTCCAAAGAATGTACTAGGAAGCAGCAGAATCATCCCGTTTCTGTGGAGAAAATCATTCCTTCAAGTCGTCAAAACGATTATTTTTGGACAAATTTGCAACTTTCAAATCGGCCGTATTGAAAACGAAAGCTCCTGATTTGTTCAAACCTTTACCAGATATGCTTTGACACATAATCTATTTGAAAATATGGTTGAAAATCTCACTGTCGACTTCGTTTGGAATGGGTGCTACATGAAAAATCAACGCCTTCTGAATTTGGATCTTTATTATGCCCTCTAGTACAAAATAACGAAAGTATGTTTTACGCTCGCGGTTGTGTGGTTCTGTAGTAGACACCATCTACTATTTATAGTAAAATTGCCAAGGTAATCTGTTCTTACTGAGTTACAATAGTTTAAGGTTGGCAAATTTTCAAGATGCTGATTCACGTTTTTCGGGACTTTCCGAAAAGTCTCAATATTTCAACCACGATCCAACTTTTTAGCTCGCGCCTTTTGTCAAAATTCATCAAAATGTCTGATATAAAACAGTTCCTAGTTTGAAAACGATTTGAGAACGTCGATTGAACAGTATTTCACTGTAATGGGTCATAGCTTAGGTACAATGGCTCATAGTTGTTTCGATAGTTAAACACCAAAAAAGTTGTTACACAAAAAGCAACTAGTTTACACTGAATTTACTGAGAAAACTGTCTGACTATTAATTCTTGTTTACTAAATATTAATAAACTATTACAAGAGACAAAAAGAAATAGAAGCACACCACACTGAAATAATAACGGGTGATGCAAAAGTTTTTTCCTTTTTTTGTTTCACTATTGCTATCTGCCAAAACATCCGGAAGGGTTAATTGTTTCTCTCAGAAAGACCGAAATCTCGACTTCAAAAAGACATATAAAACAAAACTTTTGTAATTGAAAAATAAAGGAAAAATTTAAATACAAAATGTCGCCAAAAAGGTCTTGTAAGGTACTTTTTCTTTATTTCCTCACTATAACCTGACGAAAAACGTTTTTTGAAAATCAGATAGATCAGAATGTGGCCGCTGCAAAACTGTATCGATCGCCCTGCTTTTGAAACTTTCTCAGTGATGTCTTAACAGAAAAAAAGGTGTACTGTGAAACCCAGTTTAAGTTAGAAAACTTCATTTTGCATGAGAAAGATGGGGCATCAAGAAAATTTATTTATTTATGGCTCAAAATATGTTAGTAATGATTAAAACTAATACGAGTGTGTGGAAAATTGAATGCTAATCCAGAAAGTTTGTTTTTGTTAGTTTGTTTTGGTAGTTTGTTGTCTATATGGAAAGTATTAATTAGATCTAATTAACTAGTTTTTTGAAACTAACGAGAAATCTGCGCCTGAAAAGCAGATCGAAAGATAATTTACCATATCCTGTTTGAAAGAGCAAAAAATACATTTTTAGTTTCTATAAATACATAATTTCCAATGTATTTGGTTATGAGGGAAGGAAAACGTTGACGAGAAAGAGATGTTCGAAGAGTGCGAAAATTACAACAGCTATTTGGCGACATTTGGTATTTAAATTTTTTCTCACTCAAATTCAATCACAAAAAGTTTTGTTTTGTATATTTTTCTGAAGTTCAGATTTCGGTCTTTCTAACGGAAAAACAATTAACCTTTTCGGATGTTTTGTGAAAAAGCAATAGCGGAAAGAAAAAAAGGAAAAAACTTTTGTATCACTTGTTAGCTGAATAAAATCAGATAACATATTTATATAATAGATAGGGGAAAAGAAAAAATTGTGTTAGAATATACTTTTTAGAAATATGTTCCCATTGAATGAATCACATCTTGTAGGTTGGGTGTCCCCATGATCGATTCGAAATGGGTACGTATCTTTTAAAAGTATATTCTAACAATTTTTTTTCTTTTCCTGTATCTATTATATAAATATGTTATCTGATTTTATTCAGCTATTATTCCAGTGTGGTGTGCTTCTATTTCTTTTTATCTCCTGTAATAGTTTATTCGTATTTAGTAAACAAGAACTAGTAGTTAGACAGTTTTCTCATCAAATTCGGTGTAGCTTAATTGCCTTTTATTTATCAATTCATATGTTGTCTAACTATGAAAGCACTCATAGTTTTCCTTCTAATTCAAACTGTTAATTCTCATCTTAATTTATTAACAGCAACAATATTGGAATTACACAACGCATTAAATTCATACGAAATAACATCGCGACAACTGGTTGAACTATATTTAAAGCGTATTGATGATGTGAATCATAAAGGACCAGAATTAAATGCTGTTATTGAAATAAATCCTGATGCATTAGAAATAGCTGAACAACTAGATAAAGAACGAATAAAATTCAATGATAAAAGTCGAAGTTTATTACATGGCATACCAATATTAGTTAAAGATAATATAGCGACATACGATAAATTGAACACCACATGTGGTAGTCATGCACTATTAGGATCAAAAGTACCACGTGATGCAACAGTTATTGATCGTTTAAAACGAGCAGGTGCAATTATTTTAGGTAAAACAAATCTTTCCGAATGGGCAAATTTTCGTTCATTTAACGTTACAAGAGATGGTTGGTCTGCACGTGGTGGTATTACACGTTCAGCTTATATTAAAGATGGATCTACATATGGATCGAGTAGCGGTTCGGCAGTAGCTGCTTCAATTGGTCTATGTGCTGTAGCCTTAGGTGAGTATGTTTTTATGCATCCTAGACAATAAATTACGCATTTTCTATCTATTTTGTATTAGGAACCTAAAATATGAAACAGAGAGAAAATGTGTAAGATTTTGTCTAGAATCCAAGCTTAGCATTTTCTTGTTAAATTTTTATTTGGATCATAGTAGAATTCCAGCAAATCCCACAACTTTCGGGTGTATCTGATTTCATTAGGATTTTGTTAGGATCCTAATTAGATTCTGGTAGGATATGTTAGGGATCCTGCCAAGAAATCCTAGACCTGTTACTAGGGCAGTCGTATTTAAAAATAAATTGAGAAATTGTCTTCCATACAGTTTGTTTAAGTTCTTTTTAGAGTCTATAATTCCAGCTGACGGCGCATCAGTATGTTGAGCATGAAGTTTGCTTTTTTTTGATGAATATTTTTATTCGCTTTTTCCTCAAAAAAATTATTTTCATCTTTTGAAAAACCATGTGCCATAAGTAACTCACAGTTATCACTAAAGAAATTGCCCTTTCATAACACATGCAATCAAGTATGCCCTATCCAATTATTCTAGTGCACATAAAACATGTGGAATATACTTACAGAGGGGAAAACATAATATTTTGCAGTTTTTTTCCGCTCGAGCATAAAAAAAATTGATCCTTTCAATACAATAGACTTCGCCAGGTGAATCCAAAGTCAGAAATTCGGATAGAACCATACTATGCACTATATAAGTTCCTTGCGAACTCAAATATAGTAATCTTATTATCACTTCGCAGAGATCTTATATTCCATATATATATATATATATATATATACCCAATATGTATATATACCCAATGTAAGATGCTGGAGGAGGAGGGGGAAAGATGCCCCTAGATAGCTAAGATACAAACAAAATGACAGAAAACTGAGTTAACAGCGAACTCAAATTGTGCATGACCTCGATAGAACTTATTCGATTACGCATAAACCAGAAAAGAGATCGTTGTTATCATGTCTGGTGGCAGCATTAATCGATGTGCTATAAGATCTTTTATTGTTGTAACAACAGACAAATTTGACAGAAGAATTGTAACGTCCCCGAGCATACATCATAAGCTAAAATAATAACTGACAATCATCAATTTTAATCGTCACTGTCGGCTTTAAACTTGAGGGAAAAAGAGTATTCAAATGATTCCAAAAAGCCTAAAAGGGAGTGAAAGCAGACGTAATAAGAGATTATATAAAATTTATCCAATAAGAGTTTCGATCGCTTGAGAATGTCTCAAATTTAAACGAAAATGCTGGAATTTTCGATGAATAAAGGAAGAACGTTTTGTTCCGCTCATCTATGCGGGATACTTTAAATGAATTTTTTCGATGAGAGCAAATATCTTCGTAATGAGTTCTTCAAGTAATCCCTCATTCAATACTGGATTGAATAAGAATTATAAATAATATTCTCATTGATAATACCTTTTTGGTAATTACAGAAATCCTTGTGGAGGGTAATAGTGGAACATGAAGATACCCGTACACACTTGCAGACACCTACAGACAGCACACAATCATTCATAGACAGCAAAAAAAAAATTTTTGTACAACAACAGTCAAGTATTAATTTTAATAATTTAAATTTATCTTGACGTTTCGAAAAATAACTCTGTGAAGAGTCGAAACGTCAAGATAAATTTAAATTATTAAAATTAATACTTGACTGTTGCTGTACAAAAATTCATTTTTATTCACTTGTTGGCTCTAAACCTCAATAATATTCGCAGACAGGCACAGACAGCTAGACGAACAGCACACAGATACCTCAAAACAGCTACAGCTTCTACGGACATCCATAAACATCCAACTAAATAGACAATCTGTTGCCACGCTTTCTGACCGGATCGGACATGATTGCTCGTTTCGGCAGGATGCATTACCCGAACAGGCAATATGGTCCTATCGAGCAAGGAGTATCTTACCCGTTTTGGCAAGATTTCCACACTTTTTTCTTTCAACCGATTAGCGCATAAACCAAAGCTGTAGCGCATGTAGACATTTACTCCACGTGATAGAGCAGCAAAAAACTGCATCAAACAGAGTTTTTCTTATGATACGGTGCTTCTCGTACGGTCAGTAAAGGGATCAATTCCATATATCTCAGGATTACCTTGCCGGATCGGGCAAACTTGTCTGTTCGAGCAATATTTGCCGACCAAGCAAGGAAAAAGGATTGCCTGATCGGGCAAGATACCTTACCCGGACGGGCAATAAAAATCTGGCCTGAACGAGCAATATTGTCAAATCGGGCAAGATAAATTGCGCATGCGTTAGCTATCCGTCTCTCTCATAAAAGCGAAAGAAGATTGAACACTTAACTTTAATATATGGTGAATAATCAATGCACGAGGAGCAGAATAAACGCTTCTCGCCTCTTGGACGACTGATGATTCTCGAGATCAGACCTTGTCCGAAAGGGCAAGTTGCATGTTCAGGCAGTATTGCCAATCGGGCAAGTGAAAACGGACTGATAGACAACCACGGAACTACAGGAACAGTTACTAAATTATCCAAACAGCCAAATTAATCCACAAACACGTACATTCGATGCAAACACCTAGGTTGTTAGAGAATTAGAGTTGTTCGTCACATTTATTGTATTTATATTAAATAAACCTTCTATCCGAAGATACGCGCTATCAGTCTTATTCAAATATGATTTTATTGTTTTGATTTATGCTTCAAAATAGGACAGATTTGCGTTTCGCAATAAATAAATAATTCTCAATACAGTATCATTTAGTACAGCATTCCAGACTCCTTCACGTTTGAAGTGCTCAGAAGTTCTAAAAACGCAGATGCTTCCAAGAAGCTAAGATATCCGTAGTCACAATTAGCATACGAATACGCATGATCAATAACTCTTAAGTCGACAGACTCTTTTGTTAACAAGTAATAAGAATTGATGATGTGTGCAATCACTGTTAGCAAATGTTTCTTTCCCTTTTTCTGATTGCATACGCGGTATCTGCGACAGCCCATAAGATTTTTTTTTTTGGTTGATGGGATAATTGAGCTGTGACGGATCGATTAGCCTATCAACCAAAAAAAACCTCTTAAGGATCTCAACTGACTTTGTCTATCTATGAGTAGATTGATTTTCTAAACGTCTGTACAGACGCCTTCTTTGTCCCTCTGTAGGTTATGTGGCTGTTTGTATCTTCTTGTGAGTGTCTGTATTCGGTTTTTTGTGTAATTTAGTAGATGTCTGTGCAGATTCAATTTCTGAGTGTTCGTAAATTGGCTGTTCGTGTAACTGGCTGTGCCTGTCTGTGAATGTTTATATGCTGTCTGTAATTGTCTGTAGGTATCTTCATGTTCTACTATTACCCTCCTTGTAGAAAATCGACTGTATTTTATGTGAAAACTCTCAGACTTTTGTTCGTAAGAGGGAAAAATAGTTTGAGGAATGGTTGCTGTGGTTTTATGCACTTTCTGTTCCCTCCTTCCATCCTATACGTGGCACTCGTACCGACACATCCTATCTAGAGGCTGAGATTAGTATATTTATATATAAAACTCGATATTGGATAAAGTCATCCTCAACCTTTGTCCCGACGTATTCATGGAAGGCTGAAGTTTAGAAGTGAGCGGCCTAATGTCTATTCAGGCAGAAAAAAAAATCGTGAAGTAAGCGCTTGTAGCTATCTGACCCAATTTTTAAACCATCAAAGTTAGCTTATGAAGCTGGTTGATGTGTCTGAATTCGATGCTAATCGCTCAATTAAGCGTCCACTGGACCGGCCGCTTGTAGCTAGGAAATGGGCACTGGATCGGCGTAGCTAGCTATTTGACCCAAAAAATCTATGATTAAGCTGGTGCTTGAGCTATTTGATAAGCTAGATTTCCTTGCTCACTCTTTTCTGCCTAGGTATAAAAATATTTGAAATGACCTAGCGATAAAAACATGATTTAAACACCATTCAGCTTGTCTATCATTAAATTTGAACTGATTTTCTGTCGCCCGGTAAAGTCGAATAGTAAAGTCGAAAGTTGAATATGCCATAAACCCGAAGGCATACTTTGACAGCCTGACAAGAGAACTGATCATAGGCATACGAGCGCCAGAATTTCCAGAGATATCGGAAAAAACTGCCGCAGAATAGGCCATTTTTCATGTTCTACCCCCTTTTGAGCTTGTTCGGATAACAGCTAAGGCCCTTGTACGAAATGACTTCATAATTTATAGCAGAAATACACTTATACGATAGATATAAGTAATACTGAATGTAATAACATGTTTTTCAGGTAAAACACAGTCATGTGAAAGTCTTCGTGCCAGTAAAATTCCTCGTTGTTGTGTGCATATGTTCGCACATGCGCGACAGTTATTTTTGCACATGCTCTTGCCTATAGATAGTATGCGATCTCGACTACTTATGCCCCAAATGTAGACTCTTAATCTACTTTATAGATCAAGGTATAAACAAAAGAAATTTCATCTTTATATAGTTTTATATATTTATCGTTTCAGCCTGTTTTTCGGGCTTTTACGAAAAATTCCATAACTTTTGAAGTAAGTAAATTCCGGTGAAAACATTTTGGAACTTTCCCAAGTCGCTGCTACTTACTGTACAAGTATGAACGAAAAACTCAGACATCGATTGACTAACTTATGCGAGATGCGGCTCTCTGTACCATGCTGTCGCTCTTACAGGGATTTCTAAATGCTAAAAATTTCGACGCAGTATGCCATAGGCAAAGTTCAGCTTTCGGTAATATTTCATTGTTTGTAATCCCTTTGTGCTTTCATTTTTTCTAGGTACAGAAACCGATGGTAGTATCATTAGCCCATCAAGTATTAATAATGTTGTTGGTTTAAAACCCACAGTTGGTTTAACATCACGTTCGGGTGTTATTCCAATTTCACATAATCAAGATTCAATTGGACCAATTGCAAGAACAGTTATGGATGCAGCTATTTTACTTGAAACAATTCAAGGCATGGATCAACGTGATGAAGCAACATTAAACAAGAATGCTGTTCGTCATTGTAATTATATACAATTCTGTCGTGGTATCAATGGATTTCATGGTTTAAGTTTGGGTGTTGTACGTAATTTAAACTATACTGCTATACCCGTAGATCAATTGCGAACATTTAATGAAGCAATTCATCTAATGGCAAAATTAGGCGTTAAAATTATAGATCCGTTAAATTTTGAATCAGAGGATAAACTAATAAATCCATTAAATGAATTATTAATACTAGAAATAGATTTTAAGCATGATATAGAATTATATTTAAGAGAATTAAACAATACAAACATGCGGACATTAAACGATTTAATTAAATTTAATGATGAAAATCCAGATAAAGAATTTTCACAATATACGCCTGATCAAGGTATATGGTTAGAATCACAAAATTCAACAATAATACCTGATAGTCCATTGTATAGACAAATATTAAATACAAATTTAAATTTAAGTCGTGATGGTGGTATTGATTATTTATTAGATAAACATCATCTAGACGCATTGGTTATGCTAAGTGATGCTAGTACAACACCATCAGCCATGGCTGGTTATCCAATTATAAGTGTACCATTAGGTTATTTAACAGATGAAGTTCCAGAAAATGTAGTAGGACGACCGTATGGCATTGCGTTTACTGGAAGAGCATGGAGTGAAAATATTTTATTAACATTTGCTGATGCATTTGAAAAAGCAACAAATGTTAGAAAACGTGTAATACCAGTCTATGCTCCTGTATAATTTTAATCACGGTTTTTCTTTAGATGGAAAAAAAATATAAAGATATAATACGTTTTTGTAACAACGGCAAATACTGAGGAAGTTATTGTGTACATGTAGATGTGTAGCAAGTATAAGGAAAAAAGAGAAAAACAGCAGTAAACTAGAAAGAATTGTTACTGTGGCTTTTTATAGTAAATTAAGTTAAAGAATATCTACGGCTTGATTCAAATATTTTTATTAGCTTTCATTTTATCTTTTTTGTACAGCACACCTTTTTCGTCCCTTTAGTACTATCAAGATAGAACCAAATCCATCAATTGTGACGAAATTTTGATAATAGCCAGGAATCCCAGATCTTCTGATTTTGGCAGAAAAATTCTGATTTGTGGAAATTTTTCTGATTTTTAAAACCCTTGTTTGAAACTGAACGAAAGTTTGGTCCATAGCGCAAGCATCGTATAATAGGAAAAACGTTTTTGATTCCAACGGTAGACATTGGACATAATGCTCTGATGGCATCATCCGGAAATCGCCGTCGCCGCGGATTCTTATATGTTAAAGTGTTAAAGTGTTAAAATGTAAAAGGATAAACGTGCATAACTGAGGGTGAAGTAGTGAGGATGAGGGTGGAGCACTTCTTCACTCACTTCACTCTCACCTCTCCACCCTCACCCTCACTAGCCGCGAGTTCGTATATGTTAAAGTGTTAAAGTGTTAACGCTAAAGTGTTAACACTTTAACATTGAATCCGCGGCGACGGCGATTTCCGGATGTTATGGCTCTGATAGTTCGTTCTAAATCTTTTTTGTACAGATCATAAGCTCGAAAACTGCGCATTCGTTAATCTATTCCAGTCTTCCATGAGCTCGAACGTGCTATCTATATGCAGAGTCCCAAAAAAGGCTGAGATTTTCCATTTGTTTGTGCTTTGTTTCTACTCACAGAATAACTTAAGAGAAAGAAATATCTTCCAGGATCAGTCCTATCAGAGTTGTTTGGAACAGATTTTTTTTGACAATGCTTATCTTATGCATGAACATATGTTGTAGTTGAAATTCAAATTCACTTAAATTTGTCCAGATGTGAATTGAATAACCGGAGAAGAAAAAAGAATCCAGAGAACGTTCTCGGTACATATTATACTTCTTAACTTATAGTACAAATACAACGTGACACCCCATTCATATCATATTATTTGTTCTACTAAAAACATGATATTCTCTTCTGTCATTACCGTTCCATTTAATATTAGTAAACCAAAACTTTGTATTGAACTGGATAAGTACCAGAGCTCCGTATGGACTCAAATTTTTGAGTCCAGTCCATGGACTAAGAAAATCTAGTCCAGTCCAGCCTAGTCCGAGTCCATGAAAAACAGTTTTTTAAGTCTAGTCCAATCCATGGACTCTAGAAAAGCAGTTCAGTCCAGTCCGAGTCCAACAGATTGAATAAATAGTCCGATGGACTTTGCAAACCATTAGGAATTAGGTGCTTTTGCCGCGCTGAACCAAATTTGTTAGAAATAAGGTGGTATATGCAGACTTTCCTGATGAATCCGACAGCGGTTTTCTTGTAATTCTATTTTTAGCTCTTTTCTGACGTCGATACAACGTACGTGATTTTTGTCTAAGTTTTGTTTTCGCATTGGTTCGAAGGACAGATCGTGCATTTTTGATGATACATTAATTTCAACGAGTTTAAACTTTCTAATTCATTGGAAGTAGCACTGGGAATAGTCTCCCTGCAAAACTGCTAAATACTCTACTCAACAGCATTAAGAACTTTAGCTAGGTCATAAATTAGAAGACAAAATGAACATCTGAGAACTGAAGTGCCATACCTTCACACTTAGAATAACTTCGAATTTTTTTCCTTCTTGACCATAGTTGTTTAAGGAAGAATCTATGACTCTATTTGTTCGTATATTCAATGGTTACGACTGTCATGAATAAAAACAAAATGTAAAGAAAATTTGTCACCCAAGATCTTGAAATTTTTTAACCCAAGTTCTTGGCCAAGATCTTGAGTGAAGTAAGTCAAGGTGTTTCAAGATCTTGAGTGGAAGAATCAAGAATCCAAGATCTTGACTTCTTCGTGTTTTATCCAAGATCTTGTGACATTAGTTAACCCAAGATCTTGGGTACAAGAAGTTCCACTAGGGTTATCTCTGTCGTGTTCTTCGTCAGCACTAACTATCATGTATTTATACAATCTAACTAATTATGTTTTGTTCATTTTGTTTGATGGAGATTGGTCTGATGTTGAAACACGAAAACGAGAATAAAACAAGAAAGAGTCTATAAAACAGACACTTGTGTACAAACAAATTGTGCGAACAAAAATGATAACAGATCTGATCTATGTGTTTTCTATAGTGTTTTGTATCATATGAAGAAAAGAGAAGAAAATGTTTTGAGAAATGAATAAACTGTAACTATGTGTTCTTGAATGCTCATATAGTGCTCATTACTTCCTGAATAAATACCTTAGTTTTCTCTGAAATCTGCCTCACAATTATAGGCGTTATTACATGAAAAAGCCTGTTTTTTTATATTTTTGGAAGTTTTACGGAAAGAAATAAAAAACACTTGAATTTTCTTTGGTTGCTAAATCGGTAAAATACCGATGAAAATCGGGCGATTGAAAGGTTTAATGAGATCGGTAACAATTTTGCGATCCGGTTTCAACTCTGGTTCAGAGCGACTGTAGTACGAAGGATAAATGGATTTTTTTCTCCTGTACGGTGGTTAAATCTAGACGAGCAGTTATGCTTCAGAGTTTTAGTTTATGCTCATAAGCTGTTTTTCATTTAAACATTTCTAGGACAATCAATATACTGAATAAAAACATGTCCGACAACGAGGATGATTTAGAAAATGTGCCTTTTGATGAAAACTACCATGAAAATAAAAAACAACGAAAAAAAAATCGTGAAGGTTTTAACGTAAAACAAGAAAATTTAAAAACCGAAGAAGATCGATTGCACAACGAAATTAATCATTTAGACTTAATATTAGACGAACAAAACTTAAAAAGTGATGAATTAATCGGAAATTTTGAAAAATTACATGGAGAAATACGTGGATTAGAGAATGAAGTACAAAAATTAGATAGCAAACAAAATGAATTGATAGTGTGTGCTGAACAAGCAGATGCAGAACTCAAGGTACAAATAGCAGGAATAGCTGCATGTGAGAGTGCATTACAACAATGCAATGAACGTAAAAGACAATTAGAATCTGACGAAGCACAATTAAAACAACAATTACTAGATATTCAGGATTCACAAATTAAATTAGAAGCATCGTTGGCTACTATCAGAAATCAATTGGAACAAGCCAACATTGATTTAAGTGCTCAAGAAGCAACACTCAAAGAGGAAGAAAACAAAGTACAAGAACTTGAAACAAAAATTGCTGATTTACGTAGAGAGATTTTTGCAATGAATAATGAATTAAAAGAAATAATAACTGAATTAGAACGTTTATTAGAAGAAAAAAATCGTCTAATACAGGAACAAAAGGATTTAACAAATCAACAACAACAATTAGAAGCAAATATTAAAGATTTAGAAAATATAATACAAGAAAAACAAAATAATGTAACAAAAGTTGATTTAGAAATTAAAAATATTAATAAGCGTATCAATGATTTAAATGATCAATTGGCAATTATTCAAGATAAAATTCAGACGTCTGTAAATAGTTTAGAACAAGTTCAAAATGATGTACAAACCCATGAACAAAAACTAAGAGATTTAGACAATACGATAATATCGTTAGAAAATGAAAAGCATCAACTCGAAAGAGAGTTAGAAAAGTTAGCTGATCAATACGATGATTATTTAAATCAACAACAAAATATGGATAGGAATCTGAAGGCAACTGAAAATTTATTAGCTAAAATACACAAAAAAATAGATGAATTTCAAAAAACACTCGATAAATTCAAAAACGAATTAAATCAATTAGAAGGTGAACATAGTGGAATTGAATTAGAATTAAATAAAGCCATTCAAACATGTAATGATTTAAGCGAGCAAAAAAATGATGCTAAAAACCAATTGGATATTGCTAATAATGAACAAAGGCAAAATGAAGAGAAATTAATAAATCTTCAACAACAAGAACAAGAACAAAAATTAAAGTATGAGCAAGCAGTAAGAGACGCTCAAGACCTAGAAAGACAAATGAATGCTGCATATCAAGAATATACTAGTGCAAATGAGGCATATAAGTCAGCTCAACAAGACGAAAAATATCATTTAGGACGTTATAACACATATGAAAATGGTTTTTTTGTTGCCAATTGGTTCAGAGATGGTAACTCCAAAACACGTGGAGCTGCACTTGATCGAGCAAGAGGTGAAACGAGTCGAGCTAATTCAATGTTGACGACCGCAAAAACAAAATATGACACACTTCGCGAAAAATGTAAAGCAGCCAATAGAAAACGTGATAATGAAAAAGAGTTATGGACAACGAAAATAAATGCTGTGAAAAACCAAAATATTCTATTGTGTGATAAGAAAAACACTCGCCAAATATATCAAAATATTTATAGTAAACTTACCAAGGACTTCAGTCAAGCAAGTAACACTAGAATTCAATTACAAACGAAGTTAAAACAAGTCGATAATCTTTTAGCACAAAAACAAAAAGAAATTGATTCATGTACAAATGCTCTTCAAAGACAACAAGAACAATATCAACAAGATGAAAAAAAACGAGATGAATTAAACTGCAACTTAACAGATATATGTGCTGTAATTAAACGTCATCAACGTACAATGAAACAACAAGATGCACGAATTAATGATAATCAAACGCGACTTGAAATGACACAAAACCAACAACAAGAACAAACACGATTGGTGGAAACAATAAAAACTGAACAAAAAAAGTTGAAAAAAAGATTAGGTAAATAGTAGTTTATTAATCACCAATCTGATTTGCAAATCACATCCTTTTGTTTTTAAATTATTTTAGACGAAAATATTAATATAGAAAGAGCACTAAATCGTGAAATTAAAAATCAAGAAAGTCTTGTTGGTGCTCGAAGTCAAACAGTTGAACAAATAAAAAATGATATACACATGAAACAACAGGCACTTGATGGTGTAAAAAATGAACTTCAAAATAAAAGAAATGATTTAACACGTAAGATAAATGAAATAAAAATATTGGAAGGTCGAAAGCTAAATTTAGAAAGAGACAAAAATGATAAAGAACAAGATATGCTAAAATATGAAAATGAACGAAATAAAATGCGTCAACAAGTTCAACAAACTAAAAAGAGAATTGGAGAAATAAAAAATGATATACAAAAATTAACTAAACAACAAGCATGTTTAAGTGCCGATGCAAATTATGTTCAACAACAAATAAAAGCTAAACAACATGAAAACAAAAAAAATTTAGATGAAATTGAAAAATTAAATGTCAATATTGGACACACAAGAAAAAAAGAAGATGATGCTAAGGTGGCTAAAGAAGCCGCCACAACACAACTGTATACGATCGCAAAACAATTAGTTCAAAAAAGAAACTTATTAAATGAAAAGAAACTTGAATATCAACAATTAGACACAAATTTACAAAAAAGCAATAATGAATTTCAAAATGTTGAAAATAACAAATCAAGTAAACGTCAAATAATTCAAAATAATGCTGAAGCACGTACGGAATTAGATAAACGGTATTATGAAACTGATTTAGATTTTGAAGCGATAAACGTTCAGATTGGTACAGATCAATACGCTAAATATAAAGAACAACAAAAAAGGAAAAATGAAGAATATGTTTCTGTTGATAAAATAAACAAACATCTATATTGTTGAAATCAATGACAAATTTTTACGTGAATATTTTCACTTTTAAAAACTACTCTTGAAAATGACAACAATTTTTTACTCATTATTAATAAAAGATAAGATAAATTGTGTTTGCATCTTCTATGGCTAGATATTGACTCCAAGAAAGAGTGTAGTTTACGCTTTTTATGGAATATTTTCTCGGTTCTTTTATTTTCTCGGTAAGATGGTGGGATAGAACCCGTTCAACGTTACTGTTAATGTGACATAAGACCAATATAGACGAGATATGACTTCTGCAATTTTACATTTTCTTTTAATGTTATTTTAATTCTAGATACAGATTATTTTTGCAGTAGAAAGAGAAAAAAAATGTCTGGTAAATACGCTGATAATGAAGAATCAGTAGCCGACAAAAAACAAGGACGAGAAATGAAATCAACTAATCCGGTTGAAGTAACAACAATAAATGATATAGTTATTAATATTCGAAAAATATGTGTTCACGACGAAATATCTCAATTTATTGAACAATTAAATCAAATTGACAATGATATAAAAATACCCGATAATCTACAATCAAAAACACCATTTCAACTGTATGCACTTTATTCCACTAGTAAACCAGTTGATATAAGTAATCAAATTAATCTTACAAAATATCAACCAAATTTAGATATTCGGAAAAATGATACATGTGGATCATTTCATTTTAATTTATTATTAAATTTTTTTACAATTGATTATGAATGTCCAACAATTCAAGATCAAAAATTTCCCTTATTATGGAAAACAACATTTAAAACAAACGTAACAGTAAAAATTTTTGATTTTAAACAAGAATCATCAACGGTTGAAGACAATGTCAATGAAACATTGTACAGTCTTTTATTAGAAGTATGCAGATCAAATAAATATGATGAATCAGTAGTGAATATGTGGTTGAAGAGTTTCAAAGGTAAAAGGCTATCCAGATCCATGGCTACGAGGTCTGTTACGATACTGTAGCCGAGCGTAAGTCTGTTGGAATCTATGTGTCTGTATTATGTGCCGTACTTCAGCTGTGTCGTTTACGATGGCCATATACGTGCACGGCTTCGAACTAAGGTGATCAGCATCCGTGCTCATCGCTTCTTCTACTGTGCTAGAGTGTCTGCAAATATTTATAATTGAAAGAGCTTTATGTTTCGATATACAACACTTTTGAGTATTGATAGAAGAGTGGAATTAGAGTATTTTGGAAAAATTCATAACACTGTAACAAAAAAATATGTTGTCAAACGGAAAACGTCATTTTGCTCAGCAAAGATTGTACTATTAAAAATGGAGAATATTCTAATGTTTGAATATGTTTTGCAGTCGTAACGTATAAACGTATAAATTTGAAATACTGGACTCTGCCAAATAAGCTCATGCGACAGAAATATGTAATTTTTTGACTTTCTCAAGTATCTTAGAGAAGAAAAAAGAAAGAAGATCAGTGCTTTTTGTGAAGTAGAGTCCATAGAACTTTATGAAGATTTTTCTCCAACGCTATTTATTCTTTTTCTTAAACATAAACCTGTCTGACTGATTCTTGCTTATTTTTTTAAAAGAGGAGTATATCTATACAATCGAACATTTAAAAGGAATAAGTAATGAAAACTGGGAAAAGCTATCAAAAGTCCCATTTATTGTCAAACAAATGCTTCGTGATCATATTCAAATAAATTCAACAATATCTAATGATCGTAAAATAGATATGTATGCTAGTTCAAAAGCATTATTATTAGGTGATATTCATCGTGTCAAACGGTATATTTATTACACAATTCAGCAAGAACATTTATTATCCTATCTAAACCCACAAGCAATTATTTTAGCCATTCAAGAAGTACGGAAAACATATGAAGACGATGGTAATATATTAACCAAGATTAATGATTATCTTTGTAAATTTTGTGCACAAAATAAACAAGAAACGACTGAAACACAAGCAAAAAAACAACAAGAATGGGTGAACACGGTAAAGACATTTGAAACAGCACTTAAACTAAAACAATGTGATATTATTCAATGTGAGAGAAATATTAGTCAAATAAATACTACACTTGAAGGTCATAATATACGATATGAAGAAATTTTACAACAAGAATCATTAATACATAAAACAATGGCAGCTAAACAAGCACAAATATCACAAATGTTAAATACAGATTTACGTGGTAATTGGATGAATTTAATAGATGATGCGGAAAAAATAGAAAACAATTATAAAACACAAAAGAGAAACGCTGAATTAGGTATAGCAAACGGTAAAAATCATTTACAACGAGCTAGAGAGCAATTATATTAGTTAGGAATGAAAGAGATTTTATTCAAGGACAAATAGAAGATTTGAGAAAAATTATTGGCACGAATATTTCTGATGCGATGGAAAAGTTGTTTATCAAATATGGTCGTGGTTTACTGCTTTACGGACCACCAGGAACTGGTAGGAAATATAGTTTAACTTTTTCATAATCTAAACAGAGTTGAATGTTTAAAAAGAAAACAAAGTCAGTTCTATTAGAGATTTTTTCTTTTCAGGAAAATCTGCACTATTAAAAAAAGTCGCTGTTCTCGCTGGCATAACAATGTTAACTTCTCCATTAAGTGCAGGCGAGTTAAATCGTTCACATGTTGGTGAAACAGAAAAATTATTAGTGGATATAATGAGTCGCGCGTTATCATTACCACATTTGATATGTGCAATGACTATAGATGAAATAGATGATTTAGCACCAAAACGTGATAGTCATTCACAACAATCAAAAGTCGATGGTATTAGTGTTTTATTATCATATATTGAAGGTGTTAAAAATATTCCAAATTTAATTATATTCGGTGCAACCAATCGTATGAACACGATGGATCAAGCATTTTTACGACGTATGCAAACTAAATGTTTTGTTGGTCGCGCATCACCAGAAGTTCGTAAAAAATTATTAAGCCCATTATTTTGTAAAGATCCCGATGTATTTAATAGAAGACGTATTGATTTTTTATCTAAAATTACAACAAATTTTAGTGGTGTAGCTATCACATCGTTAATAACATCAATAGTATCGATATGTGAACGTGGTGAAACAATAACTGATCATTTACTATCCAAATTAGCTGATGGTATTGCACGTGAATATAATGTATGGTTTGGTGTTAGTACATTACCAGAAATATGTCGACTCAATCCAGGTATATTTGGTAGACAACTTGAAAAATATTCACTAAAATTTTCAGATATGCAACCATCTGGAAAAATATTGGTAGATTTACAAGAAAAAAAGTGTTTAATTGAACTAAAAGATGAGAATGATTTAACCATAGAGATGAATCTAGATGCACATGAGACATCATTGCAAGCACTAATAGCTCGTTTTGTCTTCGGTTGTTCTAGTCGAAATATTGATACAATACAAATAATTGATTCAAATTTTTCATCAATGCATAATGCTACTGAAGAAAATCAAAAATTTGAATTATTAAATTCAACATTTTTAGAATGTAATGAATATAATCGTTCAATGTTAATATTTGATATCGATTCATTAATCACAATAAATATAACAGATAGTGACATGTCAAAATCATTGTCAATATCAAATATACATTTATATCAATTTATTAAAGAAAAATGTAAAACAGCTATAATAGAATTAAATTCAAATCAATCAAAAATAACAAAAGAAAAATGGATGGTAATGATTGTTAAACATCCAATGTTAAAAAGATTACTACTATCCATTTCAAAAAAGAAGAAGCACGGCCATTTCTTTGATAACTTTTTCTAAGAAGCAGCTAAAAAGGTGCGGTTTTCAGTATCGGAAAGCGAAATGTTGGGGTAATATGAAAAACT